CATTGCAAAAACTGGGGTTGTGAAATAGAGGCTTTCTGGAAAATTCCTTAATAAAGATTATGGCCTTTGGGAAACAGGGAAAACCTGGGGAATCGGACTTTACGCCACAGGAAGGGACCCTAGGGACAGATTTAAACCACCCCCTAATAGGCCTGGACCTATTTCTGAACTAAAACAACAGCTGGATTCCCTTGCAGAAGTAGTCCTACAGAATCAGAGAGGTTTAAACTTTCTTCTCATGAAATAAGGGAGGGTTATGCACGGCTTCAGAAGAAACCTGTTGTTTCTATGCTAATCAATCAGGAGTAATTAAAACAATCTTGCCATGGTTGGGGAAGAAACTCAAAAGTCTCAAAGATATAAATGAAATAATTGATATCAGTGTCCGTTCTCTTGGTCCCTCTGGCTAGCGACTCTGCCATCAGCGCTGGCTGGGCCTTAATTCTCATTCTGACTGGATTAACAGCAGGGGCTGCCATCTTAAACTAAATGGCCAAGTACGTATCAATTCAGTAAAATGAATGGTCCTTAGGACCAACTACATCTCTTTAGAGCATGATGAGTCCATGATTTGACTGATTCACAAAGATCAGTGGGGAGTGTAACAGGCCCCAGACCTTAGTAGGACCCCAGACCTTAGCACAACTGACTTCCCAATGAAAGTACCATTCAGGCTGTAAAACTCAGCTTGTAGACAGCACCACCTGCCAAAATGAGAACAAAGGCCTAATCCATCACAGTCCATAGTCCTGGGAAAGTCTCTAATGTCCGAACCTTGCTTCTGTAGTTCCACTTCTGGCTAACTGTTCTTGTTAACTGAAGTATGTCAGCCCAGGACATGGTTTTTGGTGCTTAAACGCTCACGTTGAGAAAGGCTCTGGGTGCACTGGAATCCTGAATATCCAGTGTAGTCTCCAGCCAGCTAATAAGCTTCCTATTGGCTTAAACCCATGTCTGAGAAGTCTTCTCTGGTAGATTCCCCACAACAGCGCTCACCACAGTGCCTCTAGCGCCACCGCTTTGAATCAGAGTATACACACATTAATTCTCAACCTGTCACCTTCCATTTTTCAGAGTAACCTTCTACAGCCAACATCTGTGAAGCAATAAGACCCTCTGTGGAGACAGCCTGGGCTTCATGCCCTTTCTAGTTTCCTCTTGGCTAGTCTTTCTCTTGTTCTGTTCACTCTACACGAAATCCTTACAGTGTGTGGGAACCCAAGAACATAAAATAACATGATGTGGGTGTACTGGAGACTGGACGATCTTGGCTAGGACATGTGTAGAGGTCAGAGGTCAATACTGGATGTCCTCCTTTATTGTTGTTATCCACCTTAGTTTCTGAAACAGGGTCTTTCACTGAACCAGGACCTTGCCATTTCAGCTAGGTTGGCTGTCCAGTGAGCCCTGAGATGCACCTGTCTGTGCCACACCCGTCTGGCACTGGGGTGGCAGCCATGTGCTGCCATGCCTGCCTTTTGCATAGTAATGGGGATCCGAACTCTTGCTTATGCAGCGAGCACTTGACCCTCCGAGCACCTCCCAGTCATTTTTACTTTTTCTTTCTTAGTTTTGAGTCAACAGTTCAAGTAGCTCATGCTAGACTCGAACTTGCTGTATAGCTGAGGTTGGTCGTGAATTCTGGATCTTCTCACCTCTGCCTCCCAAGAACTGGGATTATAGGCATGCACCATCACGCCTGGCTAACCCTCCAATTTCCTTTTTACCTCTTCTCATGAACTGTCTGATAAATGAAATCACTCAGGCTGCTAACTAGTAATGTAGAGTCAACATATAACTGAGAGCCATAGACTCTTATTAAATCTAGATTTTGCTCTTTATCAACTCACGATGGGACATGAGACTTTCTTTTCTTTTGTGTGTGACTTTCTGTGGGAGCAGAAAGGAGGGAGAGATATTCTTGAACTTGAACTCTTCAACGAAAAGGGAAGAGTTAGTCTAGGATTAAAATTGTCCATGATTAAAGAGGAACTGGGCTCATAGCAGGTGACCAATAGACACAGGCTAAATTGAATATGGTCATGGCCTGTTAAATCAGAAGCCATAAATACATGTATTTAAGGGCTGAGGATTTTGCTCAGTGGTAGAGCTCTTGCCTAGCATGTGAGAAGCCCTGGGATAGAATTCTGGTGCTGCCCCTGCCCAGGGACTTAGCATTAGACCCGGTGCTTCTATTACCATGTATTTCTCTCTTTCCTACTTCAGACTCCACTAAGACGACACCAAAGACACACAACGGCACGCACAGGCAAGCACGGGAAGAGTCAGAGGAGATGACGGCCTTAGCAGGTGGAAGCTAGGATGTAGATGGCGAAGTGGGGAACCGAATTTGGAAAAGGTGGAAACCAGCACAAAGGCAGTAGGTTCTCACCACCGAACTGTGCACTTTCAGGGTTCAGCAGAACCAAGAACCTTTCAGGCAAAAAAAGATGAGGGAAGGCTGACGAGAGGCCAACAGACAGGAAGTCTGGGTGGGAAGATCTCAGGATACTATGTCCTGGTCCCCACTCTATGACCCACCTTGGAGGAAGATGTGAACTTAAATCAGAAATCTTGGATTGAGGTCCCTAGGTACACAGTACCCAAAAAATAAAATGAATGCCTACCAACCACTGGGAGGCATCCTACTCCTTGGTCCCTGGTTCCAACTTGTTTCCTGAATGATGGGATCCCTGAGTAGGAAACTGGAGGGGATCTTTCTGGGGAAAGTTACTGCTCCAAACAACATCTACACACTGAACTTTGGGAGCTCCCGAAACACCTCTAGGTCACCCTGTTAGTGGTGTCTACTATGATCTGGCTATTTCAAAGCAAGAGTGCTAGGAGGAGGTTCTCATAAGAGGTTACTAATGTGTCTGTGTCTTCATCGTGAGAGTGGGTTAGTTATTGCAGAACTCTGCTCCCATGAAAAGGATGAATTAGGTCCAGTTTTTCCTTGTCTTGCATGCTTACTTGCCATTCCACCATATTATGGCAGCAGGAAGCCCTCTCCTCACCAGTACCACGCTCTTGGACTTCCCCAGTCTCCAGACCCTGAGCAAACTGAACTCCTATTGTTTATAAATTACCCAGCCTATTACTTTTGTTACAGCATCAGAAAATGAACTGATACCATTTTCAAATCCACCACTTGACGAGTTTTAGCTATTCACAGAGAACTTAAAATCAGCAGCGTCGTGTTTTAGTCTTAAATAAAAGTGGTCAGGCAAATAGTATTAGACATTGCAAGAAAGTCTCTCGGGTAAAAAGCAGAGGTGGATACAAGCAAACAGTGAGAAAAGACATTGGATAAAATAGTGATGATACAGAAAACAGGAAACATTTAAAACTAATCCCCACGAGAGGGGAACAAGTAGATATTGCACATGTCCGACAAGGACCACATGTTTAGAAAGAATTCCTTGTGAAGAAACCACCAACTAAAATGCTTGAACACAAAGATGAGGAAATCGGGGTTCAAAGCGTAGTTCAGGGGCAGAGTGTTTGTCAGGATGCGTGAGGCCCTGGGTCAATGCCTGGCATCACAAAAAAAGAAAGACAAAAATAATAGTCCAGAAAGTGGGGCACAAAGACAAAGAGCTGGAAACCAGAATAGAAGAGAGAACTGAACTGGAGAATCGGTCCACAGCATACGATAGCTGGAGTGCAGGAGAGATTGGGGGCTCACAACCACCGGTAACTCCAGCTCCAGGGCATCTGATGTCCTCTTTTGGCCTCCACTGGCACCTGCCAGCACATGTACACACAAGCACATGTGCATACACACACACACACACACACACACACACACACACACACACGCGCGCGCGCACACATATACACATATGCATGACACACATACACACATGCACGCGTGCACATACACAAATTAAAAAAGAACAAGAAAGGAAGCAGTTATCTATAAATTATTAAATAAATAAGGCAAGAACATTCTCAGAACTGAAGGACTAGGCTAACCCCACACAGTGAGCGAAGAGCCATCTATATCGTGGCACATCAAATGAAAGTTCAGAACACTGGAATAAAGAAAATGTTTACAAACTATATAGAAAAATGGGAGACTGAGAATGATAACACCTTCAGACTTTTAAACAATACTAGAGATAGATGACGATGTCATCAAAATTCTGGAAGAAAAATGACTTCAAATCTGGAGTAATATACCCAGATAAACTGTCCACCCACAGTGTACCCTCAGGGTAGAACTAAGCTATCTGGAACTTAATATATCCTCAACATACCCTTTCTAAGGAAGTTTTTGGAGAATGACTCCTGGGAAACTCAGAAACTGGAGAAGAAAGGAAATGTAATCGCCATATACTATGTGCTCAGATCTGTGTGTTTAAAGTCCTAACGGTGTGAATAATAATATTGGTTTTCTTAAATTGATAATACAGGGAAATGAGAAGAGGGTGAGGGGGATTGTGGGTGGTGAAGATCTGATGGCTGGAGCCAGTACTCATCTACTGTAAGTGGAAATTCAGAGAGAAATAAAAATGAAACAAATATTCAAAACTGTGTAATAGGACAAGCATGTCATTTGTATATATGAAGGTAAACACCATGGAGACTGCTAGGTTGAAAATGATTGCCCCTGGGGTAGGCTGAGACTACCCTTTCTCATTATAATCCTTGAAGGAATCTGATTTTTTTTTTTTTTTTTTTTTTTGGTTTTTCGAGACAGGGTTTCTCTGTAGTTTTGCGCCTTTCCTGGAACTCACTTGGTAGTCCAGGCTGGCCTCGAACTCACCTGGCTCTGCCTCCCGAGTGCTGGGATTAAAGGCGTGCGCCACCACCGCACGGCGGAATCTGATTTTTTTTATTCCCTCTCCCCCTTTCCTATTCTCCTTTTTCTATAGCTAGGTCCTGGGACCTCTGACTTGGACACTTAATCCCTTTTCTAGATGGAGCATTCAGGGTACAGCAACATCCCACTACCCATGGGAGGCTCCCTCCCCAGAGCCCCTTGCCCAGCTCACTGTGACAGAGTCCCCTTCACAGTCTGGGGATGGCTCCAGATCAAAGTCCTGGAAGACCAGCCTCACGGCAAACCCCTCTGGAGCCTCGAAGTCAGTGTGGCTCTCCTGGCCTTTGAGATATGGCTCTGGGTATCCGGGGGATGTCAGTTGCTGTGGTAGCTGCTGGGCCAAGAGCACAGAGGCCTGTGTAGGGCAAGTATGGAGGATTCCCCAAAGGAACAGCCAGCACCTGTGAGTGAGTGGGGGCGACAAGATGAGGTCATGTAGCTCTACCAGAGGCCTACGAATATATTGGTTTGTAGCAAGTGATGGTAAGGGAGTGAGAGGCTTAGGGGCCAGGAGCTGTGTCCTTAGCCTCCGAGGGTGGGCACCTCCTGATGCCACTTTTCCTCACCCGAATCTATGTGGGTTCCTATCTAGGTTCCTACACAGCCTGACCTCCAAGACTGCAGGGTTCCTAACCTGTGAAGACATTGCGATGGCTCTAAGCCAGAGAGCCTCCTGCCTCAGCCAGGCCTAATCCCACCCTGGAGTACAAATTAGGGGGGCATTTAAACCTGATTCCTGGCTCAGAGCACTGACAGACCACTTTTAGGCAAATTCAGTTCCCTGTGTGTTGTCACCGCCCCTGCCGCCCCCCGCCGTGTGTGTGTGTGTGTGTGTGTGTGTGTGTGTGTGTGTGTGTGTGTGTGTGTATGCAACTCTGTATGTGGTTCCTCTCTCCCTGCCCTCCCCCCTTCCTCCTCCTGTGCCCTCTATGGGCAAACTCACATCTTGCCCATGGAGCTTGTGGAGGGAGAACTCCACAGGTGGTTCACAGCTCTGGGACCCGGCCTCGGGGACCTGACATCTGGAACCAACGAGAGTGCTTGGCCCAGGCCAGGGAACAGGGGGTGGAGCTAGAGGAGGCCTTTGGGGAGAAGGCAGAAGTTACTGGAAATGAGTTAAGATACTCTGGGTTCAGTGCCACCTGCTGTCAGACCGAGAAATAGCTCTCACCGGAACTGAAACCAGAAATCTTCAAAACCATGCTGGGGGACAGAGCAGAGTCGGAGAGGGTTGACCCTCGACTGCTCTTTTTTTGGGCGGGGTGGTAGTGGTGAGATAGAGGCTTATATAACCCAGGCTGTCCTCAAACTTGCTATGTGGTGGAGGCTGGTCTTGAACTCTGTTCCTTCTGCCTCCTCTACAGCACTAGGAGTACAGGTGTGTGCCCCCCCCCCCCAGCCCTTGTTTGTAGTTTGGAAGCAGGATCTCACTCTGTAGCCCAGGCTGCTGTGGCACTCACTATGCTGTCCAGACTGGCTCCAAAACTTATGGCGATCCTGCCGCCTTAGCCTCTGGAGTGCTGGAATTGCATGCCCATACCCAACTCTTCTGTAGGATTTTACCACACCTGTGTATTGTGGGTAGTATGATGTTTCTTATGACCTGACTGATGCCTTTAGTGGGCTAGTCTGTCCTTCCCCCTCATTTACATTACCAGTCTGCCTCTTGGAGAACTTGAAGTTTGTGACCCATGACCTTGAGCTCTGTTTTCCTCTCTTTTTTGGTCAAGAATGGGGGAGTTCCTGCACTTAGTCATTTGAGTCCCAACCACAACATCCGGAGGCTCCTTGTCTAGCAGGGTCTGGGCTGTGGTCCAGCCCAGCGACCTCTGAATCCCTAGGGACTCAACTCACGCTTTAGGACCAGTACCAGGAGCCACGGCTTGAGTTGGAGGGTTTCTGCCTGCACCCACTGAGGAAGCCAACTCACTTATGGCTTGGCGGGTGTGAGAAGGCTGGGAAGCACAGTGGAGGTGGGCTGGCCCGTTCTTAGAGGAAGCAGGTGTGCAGCAAGGTTTGCACTCCAGAGCCAGTTGCTTCTTCCATTTTGCATCTGGTTACTCAGCTTCTCACAAAAGCAACACGTTACAAATCGAGGGCATAGTGTGGGGTTTGAATGAGAATGCTCCCCGTAGGCTGGGGATGCTCCCAGAAGGCTGGGGATGCTCCCCGAGGGCTGGGGATGCTCCCCGTAGGCTGGGGATGCTTCCCGAAGGCTGGGGATGCTCCCCATAGGCTGGGGATGCTCCCCGTAGGCTGGGGATGCTCCCCGAGGGCTGGGGATGCTCCCCGTAGGCTGGGGATGCTCCCCGAGGGCTGGGGATGCTCCCCATAGGCTAGGGATGCTCCCTGTAGGCTGGGGATGCTCCCCGTGGACTCACGTATTCGGGTGCTTGATGCCCCCACACCAGGCCCAGTCTTGATCTCTCTCCGCCTGCAACTTGTGGATCAGACGTGCAATCTCAGGTACTCCTCCAGCGCCATGCCTGCCTGCCTGCCTGCCACCGTGCTCCCCTCCATGATGATAACGGACTAACCCTTTGAAACCGTAAATGAGCTCCCAATTAAATGCTTTCTTCTGTAGGTTGCCTTGGCCATGATGTCTCTTCACAGTAACAGAACAGTATCTAAGACAAGTATGCTCAGGGTCCTTGGTTTCTGCAGACTTAAAAAGATTAGGGAGATACCGTCCATGTTGGTGAAGGAATAGGCAGGGAGTGGGGATCAGGGCACCCAGTTTCCTAGACACAACATTGAGAAGCGATCTACCCCCTGTGCCATGCCCCAACCCCATACACACCTGGAGATGATTTCCCTTTAAAAAAATTTTTTTTCCTGACTGGGATCGAATCCAGGGCCTTGCACATGCTAAGCTAGTACCCTACTACTGAGCTCCACCACCAGCCTGTGGGGCTGTTTGTTTGTTTTGAGATACACTCAGTTTGCAGCCCAGGCTAGCTTTGACCTCTTAGCCACATGAGTGCTGGGATTACAGGCACGCATCTGGGCTGTAATCGTCTAGCTGGGCTCCCAAGGACTACTTAAACTTGTCCCCTCCTCTAACTGTTAGGGTCACACAGAGTTCCTGGGAAGCCAGAGATGACTCGTATTCACCGGGTGAGCAGTCATTTTGGCCCATGACCAGTCTGTCAGGAAGAAAACAGGTTGGCTAAGGCGAGGAGTTCTTCTTCAATGGCTGGCCTTGTTCTTTTGTCCTTGACAGTCTGCAGGGGCCAGTCTGCACTCCGTTCATTAAGAGAGGCAGGGACCTGAGTGCCCAGGCTAGCACCTTCGGACAGGCTGTCCCAGGAGATCTTCTGGAGAAGAGAGTCTTTAAAGGAGACTCCTGGGCAGGTGTCAGGGCCCATAGTTCTGTCCTGCATGGGACTCAGGGGTATTTTGGGACACACTGTTATGATTTCAATGGGAATGAGGGGTTTCCTAGGATAGGGAGCTTTCACTTTTAAAACAGAAGAAATTCTGGGAAAAATCAGAACAGATGCTCATCTTACATGGCCAGGAGTTGAAGTACTGGGTGGAGGCTGGTTGGAAAGACACAGGGAGCCAAGAGGGGAAAGAGATGGGGAGTCCAGGGTTGGCATATGCTGGTCCCTGGGGTGGAGAATCTACCTTTGAATATGAGGGTCCACTTTACTCCTACCTGGTTGTTATGGTTAAAGTTTGTATTTGGGTAAAGGGGAGGAAGCCCCCAGGGACTTGGGACTGATGGCTGTGTGTGTAGCTGGTGACTCCAGGCCCCTGTGGTCTGAGGATAAGCAGCCTCACCCCTGTCCTGCTTTCATTACCCCTTCCTGTGCCCTGGAACCTCCTCTCCAGCTGGCAGAGACAGGAATGTGGAGACTATGCTATAAGAAGCAGAGGTCTCTGCCTGAATAATTACGGCACCAATGCAGGTACAGTCTTTTCAGAGCTGACACTGTGTGGGATGGTAACACTTGGCCGTGGCTGGGAGTGGGAAAGACAATAAGTCAATGTGGGCTCTGGAGCTGTGGGGAGGGGAGCAGTGTGAGGTGAGGTAGATCTACTTCCTGAATTGGATTTTCCTTCATCACCAGGCCTTTTCACTTTCTTTTGTATGCAAGGTCTCATGTAGCCCAGGGTAGCCTCAAACTCAATGTGTAGCTGAGGATGACCCTGAACTTCTTATGCCTCTACTTTTCAAGGGCTAGAATGAACAAGTGTGCACCACCATGCTCAGTGTATGCGGTGCTGAGCTCCGAACTCAGAACCTTGTGCATGCTGGGTAGGTTCTTTATCAACTGAACTATATCCCTAGCTCACTCAGGTTTTTCCCTCCCCATGCTACCATGATGGAATGCCAAACATTGCATTGTGAGATAAAAACTAACACTTCTTTAAGCTGCTTTTGTTAGCCATTTTAGCACAAGGAGGAAATAACTAATACATAATCCAAAGTTACTCAAAATGTAAGGAAAGAAAAACACAAACCGTACTTATGAGAAAAGTTAATTTACAGAATGTGCTGGCTAATCTTGTGTCAACTTGACAGCAGCTAGAGTCATTTTGGAAGAGAGAACTTCAACTGGAAAACACCCCCACCTGGTCTGCCTGTGGGCAAGCCTGTGGTACATTTTCGTGATTGATGATTGATGTGGGAAAGCCCAGCTCCTGGGGCAGTGTTACCAACGGGCTGGTGGTCCTGTAAAAAATCAGGCCCAGAGATGCCATCCCGCCATCCAGGGAGCAGCATGTAATGGCACACAGGTAAAGCCACGGAACACATGGCAACATAGAGATTAATAGAAATGGGTTAAGTTTAGTTATAAGAGATAGCTAGTGAGAAGCTTGAGCCATGGGCCATGGCCATACAGTTTGTAATTAATATAATCCTCTATGTGTTCATTTGGGTCTGAGCAGCTGCGGGACTGGGCAGGACACAGGAAAACTTCTGGCTGCCTTTGGCTGCCCAACGTGTTGGCTCAACTTTCCACCTACTGTCCCACGAGGACTGTGAGACCCTGAGAAGCCTACTTTGTTCCTTTAACTCAGACTATCATAAGAAAACAGCGGTTTCTCCCCAGTCTAAGACAAACTACACACTATTAGCTCATTTTTACCTCAGTGCAAGTTCAAACTGGACTGGGTGTCTCTGTAACTGGATTGTAAGTTAAACCTTTACAGATATGCACAAGGACAGAGTTGCAGATGTCTAGCCAAGGTTACTAGCACAAAACATCCTAAGATACTACACCAATTCTTCACTTGCTAAGTCTGGCTGATCAAGACCTGACTCTGTGCAGATCTCTCTGCAGCCTGTCTCACCCGGCACTGTGCCCTGGCCTCTGGTCACAGTCTCACACCAGGAACCTTGAAGCCTTGCCTTGCCATGGTAAATGGCTCTGCTCCTTATCATTTACTCAAGGACTGTGCTATGACTTTCAGAGGTAGCCTTGTAACTTTTCTTATTACTGAAAAAAGCCTCCTGAAAAATACGTATACAGCTGTGCAGAACAGAGGAGAACTAGAAAGAATTAGAACTTAGGAGGAATTAGAACTAGGAAGAATTAGAGCTGTAAAGAAGAATTAGAGCTGAAGAAGAATAAAAGAAAATGACCCTCAGATTGTGTGTGAATTTATTGTAGATAAACTTTTCTAAGCCCTTGCTCTTGAGGAGCATTCTCTGAGTAACTCTGAGCAGTGGCTTGGGAGCTGGAATCTCAGTCCTCAAAGGAGATAATCTTTCAAAATGACACAGATGTTGGAAACAGTAAACATATAAAGATGCAAGAAAAAATACACTTACAATAAGGGGAAAGGTAGGGACAGTATACAAGGAAATTAAAAGTTTAACAATAGCCAAAATTAGATCACCACCACTAAACATCACCATGACCAACCAATGACCCAGGATATTCCTGCCCTAGAAGAATCGACCCATTTGGTAAATCAAGTCTCCCCAGATACAAGAAAGAATGGCACACAGTTTGATTTTGCAGTTGTTTGTATTTGTTTGTTTATTTGGTTTCTTTTTGAGACAGGGTCTCGTATAACCCAGGATGGCCT